TCATTGTGATTATTAGGTATACTTACATTAGTTGAAGAACTTAGTTATTAAGGTTAATAAAATAAAGGTTTATTATTTTTTGCTTTTCAGTTTTTTCGGCGGTTTAATTTTTTTGTTAAAAAGTTTTTAGTATTAGACATGTGCATAGTGCCTACATTACATTAGGAATACGATACTGTTGAGCTTTTCGAAAAGCCATTTAACGAGATATTCAAAAATAATGAAATATACAGGGTGATCTATTTGAAAAAAATGATGTTAATATTACTTCCGGTGAAACAGGAAGCAGCATTCATTGAAAATCTATCTCAAAAAAATTGATGACAATGAAGTATGCAGCTTTATCCCAAGAAGTATAGTTATACCTTTAAAAATAAACGAGTTATGGCATCGGGATTTTTTGTAATCCACCCTGTATATTCAGTTAAACTTCCCTAACTTGAACCTCTTAAATGCAACCAGTTATGTTCGAATTAAAGAAAATGTAAGTTAAGGAAGATTTTTACTTTATCGTCTTTTTTTGAATTTTTATTTCGAAGACATCGCTTCTGCGTATACTAGTGTTATTATGCCCACCGTTAATAAGTTTTATAATCTCAAATCACAATGCCAGCAAATATAAGTACTTCGTTAGTGTTGCTGTTTCCTACCGTATCCTACGATCCGAACCTAATTCCTTTTTTTGTTATTTTCCATAATATAATACTGAGTACCGCAATGAAAATTTATGACAATTTATAATTTAAACACGCACTTGCATATTTAGCTAAATAAAAATTAGTATATGCTCACTGTGACTTAACTATAAGTTTTTGTCCAAATACTTTCTCAAAACTTCCTTGTTTTATGTAAGATTGTCTGCAACTGCTAAAGTTAATTAGTTAATGTACAAAATGTTCAGAAATGGAAAAAAGGTTTCGTGTAAATGGCAACACTACTTTTTGCACCACATATACATATATGTGTTATTAAAAAACTCGTTTTTCGTATCTAAATTTAGTTAACAATTTATTTGAAATTTCCTACTTAGTATTTATTGACTGTACGACCATGGTCATTAACGCCAATTTCGTTTGTTTGTTATTAAGTTTTAGTAAATACCGTAGTTTAATTTTGAAATTAATTACACAACTTCATAAAATTGTGTTAGGATATTAGAGATTAGAGACAGTATATAAATGTACATCTACGTTTGCAAAAAGAGAGATAAAGGAGAACTTTTTCGTTGGATTAGTATTAACACTGTATTAAATATTTCTAAGTTGAATAAATATTAAATAAATATAAAAGTATGCAAATAAATTAAAACATGAATTTAAAACCAATGACTAACTGTAATCATTTTCTGCATTTTAAAGAAAAGGTGATAAAAAGTCGATAGAGAGTAATATCTTAGCACGTAAAAATGAGTCAGTTGGACTAATTTTGTGAATGTTGTAAGCCGAGCGCAAGGCGGGATTAACCATTTAGTAAGAGTAATTTGCAAATGTTATTGGCCCGCGTCTTGCTGGTCTCACGACTGAGTCATAGCCTGAGCGCAAAAAATCTGTTAATATAATTATGTTCCAAGTTGGCAACACCGCAACGCAAACCGCGGAATTCCCTAATATTGTGTTCGAGCTGTTCCTATAATCATCCAGTCATTTAGAATTGCCAAAGAAAGTAATTATTGGATATTTAATGTTATGAGTACACTATTATTACGTCGGTCATTTCTGCTACATTCGATGTATTTTATTTTTCTTTTGATAAGTGCCGTATAGAGATAAAATTTGTTTTTTTTTTGAAGTGAAACTTCTTTACGCACGGTAGGGTATGTTCGTTTCATGCGAATTTGCTATGTAACGAAATCATGCAACGCATTTCCCTCGCTGTCTGTCCCTATGTATGCTTAGATCTTTAAAACTACGCAACGGATTTTAATGCGGTTTTTAATAGATGCAGTAATTCAAGAGGAAGGTTTATATGTATAATACATGCATAATATAGTAGTTAGTGTTTTTTTGGGTTCGTGTTTTAGTCTGACATACACGTTATTACACACATATGTATGTGTATAATGTATGTGCGATACATACGTAAGTAGGTGACAAAAAGCAATTTCTAATTGTTAAAAAAGAGAGGCAAACCTGGCAGGTATAGTATAAAAAACAAGAAATGTAGAATGTAATTGTTGGATAATCGATTTTTTTTCTAAAGGCAAAAAATGAGTCGTTGTCATTTTTTTCTAGGAAAAAGGCTTACATAGTTTACCAAGAACAGTCCTGTTTACTTCAGAGGATGCACATTATTCTGTGAAGAAAATGGCTTCATTTTTGGGAATAGGTGGCGACAACGTTTATCTAATTCATACAGATAATCGCGGTAAGATGTCAATACCTCACCTTGAAGAACAAATTGAACGGGCTAAAGAAGAAGGTGCTGTACCGTTTATGATTAGCGCAACTGCTGGTACTACGGTCTTAGGTGCCTTTGACCCACTGGAAGAAGTCGCTGATGTATGCGAAAAGTATGGGCTATGGCTACATGTGGACGCAGCTTGGGGAGGTGGAGCACTTCTATCTAAACGACATAAATATTTGCTCAACGGTATTCATAGGTAAACAAGTTTCTCTTAAATAGATTAATTATACAACTTTAGCTAACGCGCGCAACTTCATTTTATTGCACAGTAGTCCCTTGTTAACAATAAAGGTCCAGGAATTAGGCCCTCACCGTGTTGTGTATTAAAGCCGACTAGATGGTGATTAGTATAGTTCGTTTACTTTCTGTAGCGATGTGACCTTCACTGTGACCGGCGCAAAGTAGAAAAGAACAGCACTAGGCCAGAAAAGGAAGGAGACAACTCGCGGCCAAACTCTTAACCGGTGAGGAGCGTATAATCCGTACAGTACTGCACGGAAAAATTGACCATTTTATTCACTACAATTGCATTGCTCAAATGTGCTATTATTGGTATCATTTATTACTGAAAATATCAACGAGATGTTTATTTATATTTGAGGACATATTAAAGGCTTTAACGCTTGGTTTCGATTCGCACTACTATTCATGATTAAACAAAACTTTTTGCAGATACTGTATGAAAAAATGTGTTTAATAAACAAAAGTGGAGAGTATAATGAGCTTTTTTCTCCCTATCTACGATTTTGCCAGCGCGCATCCAAGACATTGGAAGGGGCACATCGCTAGAGAAAGTAAATGAAGTATACTAGAGTGCGATGCATCGTGGCAGCACGTATAGTTGGGACTATAAATGTGAATTTATCGGTAATAAAAAATTTGGTCATTATCGCGTAAAATTACCGGTTTGTGACAGTATTCGGAAGTTAAAAAATTTTGAATGTGAAATTTACTGTCAAGCCTTCGGTCAGCGTAATTACCGTAAATTACGTCAGTTGCATCTATAATTACGAGGTTTAGATGGTTTTAAAAGTTTCTGCAACTCTTGAGGACAACTTCTGCACTCTTTATAGAGATGTTTTCGCATACGAGCTATGTTTCCTGCGTACTTACTCTTGTCTCCGATTGTACCTCCCAAACATCATTAAAGAACGTTCAAAATTCTCAGGAATTTAGGAAAGCAAAAACACTTGTTGAAAGATATAATTCCAACCAGGCAGTTATAATCTGGTATCTGATCTTTTGCGTAACCAAGCAACTTCTAACCACTGCATTATCTCTTTTCACTTTGTCTGTACTACTCATGAAGCGTTTCCTAACTTAATAATAAAGACGTGTTCAAAACGCAGCAAAGCTCAGTCCCAAGTGGAAACAAGAAAGAAGGTACATCCATCCTTACAGATAATTTATTGCAAACTTTATCAATTTTAATCGTTCCAACTATAGTTTAGAACTCTATTAGACTAGGCCGCTAATCGACGCAACGTACAGGGTCCGGTAGCGCAGTCAATCACTCGTTGGGTCCTGCGGTAGTTCGGTAGTCCTGGTCAGCAGAGTAACTTTTTTTCTGTAACATTAACCTTTATTAATTAAAGATAACAATTCAATACTTCGACCCTCCCAAGTAATTGAAGGGCTCATTGCAGTCTCTCGAGAGCTTTTTGTATAATTATGTGAATGTAAATTTTCATTAAGTTATAACCTGTTTTTTTTGCACAAATACTTTTAAAATTTTATCATAAATAGGCTAAAACTTCATATTAATAAAAACATACCTCGATATAACTCAAAAATCGGTTGTCTGTAAAGTCGGTTTACTGACGATAGTTGAACGTGACAACGTCATAAGAAAATACTGATGGAATGGTTTGACACCACATTCACTTTTCACTGCACTTCATACTTGACAAAAACATGTAAATGTATTATTGTATAGCAGCTGTCCACGCGGACGCATCGCTCACTCAAGTAGGAGAGAGACAGATGTCGAACGCTGCCGAACGCGGAGGCCGATTGTGCCTCTTTGTCGCTCGTTCCGCGCTCTCGCTTGCACTTCAAGCCTTAAATGGAACGCCTCAAAGCGAGGTAACGCTGCATGAGTCATGTTTTTTCGTGCGTGCAGCCGGCTCCATTGAATTATAAGACGTTGTCACGTCAAAAATCATTTAATGCAATAATATTTTCTGTAATGAAATCATAATTGGTTTACCTCACTCTCAGTCCTAAGACTGGTCGGACACGCACCTCCACTCTTTCATATCCTGAGCTAATCTTCGAATTTCCCTAAAACTAGAACATCCCACATCCTTAACTATTTGCGAACAATAATCTAATCTAGGTCTACCTGTACCCCTCCCAACTTCCGTTTCTGCCTCTAATATGTCTCTGACTAGACCTTTATGCCTGAGAATTTGTCCTACTAACCTATCTCACCTATTTCTTATTGACTTCCATACAGTCCTCTGTTCTCCTATTCTTTCTAATACCTCTTCATTTCTAACCTTCTCTATCCACGGTATCCTCATCATTCCCCTGTAATACCACATTTCGAACGCTTTCCTAACCTTGTAAATGAAATAAAACCTCTAGAGAATTGTTAACGTAATCGCACTTTATATCTCTAAGGCAATCTGTTCTTATTTTTGGTAGAGCCGATTCGGTAACTTGGAATCCACATAAACTACTGGCAGCCCCTCAGCAATGCTCAACATTCCTTTTGCGCCACAAGAATATTTTGTCGGATGCACACTCTGCGAACGCAAGTTATCTCTTTCAGAAAGATAAATTCTACGATACGCGTTTTGACACAGGGGATAAGCACGTACAGTGTGGAAGGAGAGCAGATGTATTTAAATTTTGGTTTATGTGGAAAGCAAAGGGAACATCCGGTTTAGAAAATCATGTCGATAAAGTTTTCGACAATGCAAGATTTTTTGCCACGTCGTTAGACCACAGGTCTAACTTCGAAATGGTTTTGAATTCACCAGAATTTACTAACATATGCTTTTGGTATATACCACCTAGTTTACGTAACCGAAAATCTGATAAGGATTATAAGGAAAAATTAAACAAAGTCGCTCCAAAAATTAAAGAAAGGATGGTACAAGAAGGATGCATGATGGTCACGTATCAGCCACTAAGGGATTTACCAAACTTTTTCAGGATTGTATTTCAAAGTTCTGGTTTGGAATTGTCTGATATGACTCACCTGTTAAATGAATTTGAACGTTTAGGAAGTGATCTGTGAAATGAATGTACCTATTTCTTAAAACAATTGTAAAAATAAAATTCAATGTAGGTGAGTAATAAATTTTTATTATTACAATATAAGTAAGGAGCGTATAATCCGTNAATGTAGGTGAGTAATAAATTTTTATTATTACAATATAAGTAGGAAGACATTTAATAACATTCCGTTATTTCATACATACAAGTATGTAGATATTTAATTTATTAATTTAGTAGAATTTTATATTTTTAAAAACTTAACAAAGAAATATAAATGTTTAAAATTGTCTTTTAATTTATGATCCAATATTATACATTTATTTACACATAATATATATACATATATTTATGACTTTATATGCTCTTATTCTACAAAACATATTCTACAGATTGACAGACAGACAAGTTTAGCACAGCAATAAACGGAAGGGCAAATAATACATTGCGTAATTAAACACCTTTCTCACCACTGACTAATTTATTTAATTATTTAATTTTTAATTAACTCTACTATTAATAATGAATTTATATTTCACTTCCATGCCATAAACTTTATATCGGTTCCAGTGTGGGCGACCTACTTTATTTTTTGAAAAAATGCCCCCACGAAAAAATTCAAAAACATCCGTAAAACCAGTTGTTTGTTATTAACGATGCGAAACAAGTTATTTTCAGAAAAAAAAACAAAAATGTTAGGTAGCTTTAAAAAATACAAAAAAAATGGGAGGTTGTAAACTAAAATAGGTTCGTAATAATTAAAAACCGCATATAATGGTCATTTTTTGACATTAAATAACAGGGGCCGCAATTGTCGCCGACAGTTGGTTCTGATCTTAAATTGTAGCTATTATTGGTCCTTAGCTGAGGTATAAATATTATGTAGAAGTAAATTAAACTTTTTGCGAAAATCGCGAAATCTTAAAAACAAAGTGTTTTTACGAGAACAGCGGAAAATCAGTCAATACTGGTCATGATTCAATTTTTTAAATTGATGACTATTCTTAAAGAATTTTTCTACAATCCTATAATCGCGATTTGTGTCTAAAATTTTAATAAGTAGCTCAAAAACGTGTTTGAAAAGAGGGTGTTTTTCGGGCACATAGTGATGCAAGCAGAGGGAAGTAACGCATCGTGGGGAAGCCACTTAGCCCGGCAGACTCCAACGATCGCGCGCTTTCAAATCTTGTATTCCGGTTATTGCATATTGTTTTAACTAAGATCACCTTTCGGTTTAATAGTTATTGTTGATGTTTATTGCAACAATTTTAAGGTAAGTATTTTCATTACGTTAATATTCATATAAAATTACATAGAAGTTGTAGAATATGCCTTAATTATAGCTTATAAAATTTTCATCATAGCTATGGATCTATAATGGCTACGATTTAAGCCCAGAACGAATTGTCGGCGTCAACTAAGGTCCTTGTAATTAAATATCAAAACCATGCCATTTTTTGCGGTTTATAGAAAAAAGAAAGAAAAAATTCAAAAACATCCGTAAAACCAGTTGTTTGTTATTAACGATGCGAAACAAGATATTTTCAGAAAAAAAAACAAAAATGTTAGGTAGCTTTAAAAAATACAAAAAAAATGGGAGGTTGTAAACTAAAATAGGTTCGTAATAATTAAAAACCGCATATAATGGTCATTTTTTGACATTAAATAACAGGGGCCGCAATTGTCGCCGACAGTTGGTTCTGATCTTAAATTGTAGCTATTATTGGTCCTTAGCTGAGGTATAAATATTATGTAGAAGTAAATTAAACTTTTTGCGAAAATCGCGAAATCTTAAAAACAAAGTGTTTTTACGAGAACAGCGGAAAATCAGTCAATACTGGTCATGATTCAATTTTTTAAATTGATGACTATTCTTAAAGAATTTTTCTACAATCCTATAATCGCGATTTGTGTCTAAAATTTTAATAAGTAGCTCAAAAACGTGTTTGAAAAGAGGGTGTTTTTCGGGCACATAGTGATGCAAGCAGAGGGAAGTAACGCATCGTGGGGAAGCCACTTAGCCCGGCAGACTCCAACGATCGCGCGCTTTCAAATCTTGTATTCCGGTTATTGCATATNAAAATGGTTGAAAAAACTGCAAACGTTGTTTTCGGCCGTTTTTTTACATTTTTTTGAAGATTGTTATAGTAACCTCTAGCTTGTCAATTTTTTTTGTTATATAGGACCAATCAATAATTAAATAGAACGTTTTTATATTCGTATTTTTTCCCTTTCAGTATTTTAATCCATCATTTTATACAGTACATATGGATATACGCTTATCCTATTAATGATTAATCATGATAGTAATATGGAATCATGGAAAAGCTCCTTCCTCAGGGATGATGTCCTGGCTCTAGTAACACTCACGCGAATACCATCACATTTACTTACTTACTCATGGCCTGCTATAATACGGCGGATTTAGAGGTTTAACATGTCCCTGAAGATGCAACTTCTCCAAGATTCACTATTACTATTGCCTTTTACTTTCGTGATTAATCACGTGGTATTATCTATTTTTAATTGAAAGGAGTATATTCGTATGCAAATTTACAAAGAATCACTATTTTTAATGATAAATACGACTGTATAGGTATTTTGATTCCGTTGGGGGCAATTTTCATTATCATTCCCGGATAGGCCCCTTGTAATTCAGTGGGGCGTAATAAATCGAATAGTCGCCCGATGATCTAAAAAGCAGAGCGAAATTGTTTATAACACTGTTGCAATCCTTATTGACTTTGAAGTTGAAGTCGGAAGGATTCTTGAAATGAATACACTAACTCGCACGTTTGTGTAATATATTGTACTTTGAAAAATAGGTTGGTGCAATACAACCTAATACAGGCCCCTATGGATCCCTACACTTCAGTAACAGAACTTTTTAAAATTCAGAAACATAGGTGTAATATTTAGTCTCAAATAACGTGAACTAAACGTAAACGCTCAAGTAAAAAAGCAAAATAAACTATAGGGGATTCCCCGATTATTTGACAATTGCTCGATGAAATTGTTTATGACACTGTTGCAATCCTTATTGACTTTGAAATTTAAGTTGAAATCGGAAGGATTCTTGAAATAAATACACTAACTCGCACGCTTATGTAATATATTGTACTTTGAAAAATAGGTTGGTGCAATACAATCTAATACAGGCAGGTTACAAAAGCTACAGGTCGATTGTAGTGAGATTCAAGTGGAAACAGATGTTATGAGATTAACGTAATCTGATCTGGCTAAAAATAGACACTGGTTTTATGCACCAGTACCAGGAGCCCGGGTTCTGTTCCCGGTAAGGGAGTGACATCAAGAAAAGTAAGTATACATTTATCTTTAAAAATTATTATATTTTTAATTTACTAAATACTTGAAAACCTTCATGAAAACCTTATAAAATAAAACAAATAAATTAGGTTATCTCCTTCACAGGCACCTCTTGTTTTTATTTACCTCTGATGTAAACTGATAAGTAATATTTCTCGATGCTGTGTTTTGATCACGTTATCAAAGTACTGTGTGGCTTACCTCAAAAACGCCAGTGCTCATAGTACAAAAATGGCAGCGATTTGTGACGTTCTATATTTCCTTGGGGTACTGTGGCTGTTTACTGGGAGTACATAACGGAACGAATTTTTCAGCAGTGAGAGTACTGAACAGCAGCAGTGTATCGGAACACAACCTATATCTCGCTCTTAACTATGATTGTATGATTATATATGTCTATGATCTCGCTTGTTGTTTTTGTGTTTCTTGTAATCTATGGTTTCTTATCACTAGGATTGAAAACGCATGAAAAGTTATTTCGCGTGTTATCCCTAGTTATCTTAGTTTTTTATCAATGGGTATTTTTTATTTCGTAAGTTAATTTGGCTGTTTAGTGTTCTAATTTGTTATAAAAATATAGGATGGAAGAAGTAATTTCAATATCATCTGATGAAGAAGACTTTGAACCAACTTCAAAAAAGGTAGAAAAATAAGTGTGTTTTATTTGGCCACGATTCTAATGGTTATAAACTGCTATTTTTAAGGCAAAACTCGGTAAGGATGTTGATGACTGCATAGTGATTTCTGTTAATGAGGGAAGAAGTATCACTTCAGATAGCACTAAACAGATAAAAGAAGAATCCATTACAATGGCAAGTGTGGACTCTCTAGAACCATTAAATGAAGAGGAGTTTTCAAAAGAAGTCAAATCACAGAATTTAGCGATAAATAACACTAAACAGATAAAAGCAGAATCCATCACAATGGCAAATGTGGACTCACTAGAACCATTAAATGAAGAGGAGTTTTCAAAAGAAGTCAAATCACAAAATTTAGCGATAAATAGCACTAATATGGCTAACGGTGAATCTAGTAATAATTCATCAAATTTTCAAAGATGTTTGTCAGAGTTTTTAGAATTATGTGTAACAATAGAAACCAATGAAGCTTACAAAAATGTGATACTACAAAAGATACCTTTATTAAAAGAAGTTGCTGCTAGTATTGAATGTAAATACTCTGAATCAGATCTAATAGACTTAATAGCAGCAATCAAATTAAATAAAAAACAAGCAAAGGAAAATCCATCAATGATATTAGTTTATTATGATAAAATATATAGGGAGCTTAAGTCTGCATATTATACAAAAAACTATGACACTAATCCAAAAAAAGAGAAGAACATTAGAGCTCTGGAGAAAGCAATTTATAACCTAAGAAAAAAAATAAGTGCATTGGAAGAGGCTGAAGTCGACTTTGATGAAGATGAAAATTCTTCCTATATAAAAATGCAAAGGTATATGTGAGTTAATAGTTTAATTGTTACATTAATTTACATTATTTTAAATGGTCAAATTTCTGGAATATGAATGCAGAAGTATAAAATATGGTCAGTAAAAAGAATAGTGAGTAAGAAAGTAACCAGGACAAGCAATGAAACTGTACATACTTGCATGGGATGGATATCTGAAATGGTGCATCCTACGATTGGTATCAAATTTATAAAACAAACTCAGTTATCGAGTAGGTGGTGAAGATACCTGAATGAATTTCTTTCTGTGACACGAACTGGAAGGGTAAAAAAGCTCTATATTTTTTCGTAATACCTTTAAAATCAATTACTGAATATTCTTAATGTAAATGGTGAAACACCTGTCTGTGTTTACTTAATGGTTTTGATATTTGGGCTAAGCACTCATGGTTTAATCACTGAAAAATCAATTTTCAAATAGGAAAATACTCTAATTTGCTTCAAATTTTTACCACTTACTCTGCTATGAACTGGATGATGATAGGCACCTAAATGTATGTTTTATTGGCTCGAATCTGAAGGGCTGAAAATTTTTTTCTTTTTTGTGACATTAAACAAATTTTATTGAAAACTAGACAGAGGTAGTTCACAATTTAATGAACCTTGGCTTTGGATTACACAGTGACAAAACTTTGCTTTTTCATTGATTTCTGCCACCAAAAATATTCGGCATCATTGTTTACACTTTATCTACAGTTATCATTAAGAAGCTTTCTCCAAACCAATTACGTTTTGTTTCCTTTTGTGTTACTTGTTTCATTTTACTTTTTTTGTTATTTAGGCGAATGTCTCGATTGATATACGCACCCCACACTTCACTGAAATTTTAGTATATTGTGCAGTTCACTATGCTGATTAAAAAGGTATATATGCTTATTTGTAATACTGTGTAGTAGCCGTGAATGTATTGTAAATGTGGTAGGCGCATGTATTACAACATGAAATAGGTGTCATACTCTCAAATATTAGATGAGAAAACAGAGAGGGAGCGAAAGAGGCAGGAATGATTTTGTACAATATCAGTTTATTGGTGTTTGCAGAAAGTATTTACCAATTTGAATATAACAATACTTGTGGTTTTTTGGAAGTAACTGCTGTATTTTTGAGATAATTGTTTTATGTATTATGTTAAATGTCTCAATGGTATGAAATGATACAACTTTAAGTGCGTAATAATCGCAGCTCCTGACCAAACTGCTTTTGCAGGTGTCCGTCCAATTGTTTCCGTGGAATAACAGTCCCAGTTTGGAGACCACTTTAAAAAAATACTCGTTAATAGTGCTGCTCATTCCCTCTACAATTCCGTCTGATTGGGAGCGTAGAGGTGTATGTAACTGTAATATTTTACAAATGTCCTGGAATATGACAGACTCGATGTTTTGGCTCTGGTCAAAATAGAGCTCCATTGGTACTCCGAATCGGCTGATTACTGATTAGGTACTTGACGAGCTCTTTCGCTCCTTGTAGTGGCTGTTTGCTTGGGATGGACGTATGCATCAACCCATTTCGTAAAATAGTTGATGGCCACATCCATGTTCCTATTTCTATTATTGGTACCTATAACAATTTCATCGAATAAGCTGCCGACATAATTCTGGTACAGAAAGCACGCTGCCGTGTAAGTGGTCTTTTGTTGGCTGCGCAAGTTGTGCACTTCCTCCATCAGTCTTCAACTTCCTTCTTGTAGATGATCCAGTTCACTAGATTCTTCAGTACAATTAGTTGATGGCTGCTTTCAATAACATCATAAAGTAAACACCAGCCTAGATCACTCCTGATAACCTCTTTACGTCCGTAAGGTCTCATCGAAATTTATCAACCCGTTTCGAAGATTAGCCCGTACAGACAGGCGGAAAGACCTTTAGTGTCTTAATAGCGTATGAGCTTAAACAAGGCAGCTGTTTCGATATTGTAGACAGACACTTCAATTTTAATAATGATAATGTGGATTTTCAGTATTTTTTACCTTAACCCATTCTCGTCCTAGCTGCGCTACCGATGTGATAGTAGTTTATAGCAGCTTTGAATCCCTGATACCATCATCTAGTACATAATAGAGTACGTGGTAAAAATTTGAAATCAGTCCTAAGATTTCTTTCTAGACATACAGAAAAATTAAAAAGCAATTTTTTACCCTTTCGAGTTCGAGTCCCCAAAGGTCCTTTCAGGTATCATCATCTACTCTAACAGAGTATGTGGTAAGAATTTGAAGCCATTTAGAGGGTTTCCCTTTTCAGAACCCCATCCGTTAAATGCTCATGAAAGAACAGTAAAAAACATCGAGAAACTTTCAATAAAAAATCACTGATTGATGTATTCTTGATACAATCGTAACTTTTATGTGGATACGTCTTTGTTTGAGAGGATATCCGGGCAATTGGAAGAACATTACGAGTTAAGGTAGTTGGTAGTTTTTCAAAATAATTTAAATGGGCCTAATTAAAATAAAATCAATGATTTTGGATCTGCAAAACAATTATCAAAATTGCACGATCAGCCCAGAGTATACATGTGTATAGACTATACTATATTTTGTAGCGTAAGTTTTTGTTCCAACTATCGAGAGCCAACTACCTTAATGTTTTAAATTGAATTTATTTCATACTGAGTTTATTAAACTGAACGATTTGTTTCTCCAAACCACTCTAGAATTAAGCATCATTGATGCATAACTGCATATGCATATAAATAATTGAAACACTACACACATTCGGAGCATGTAGAAAAGTTTATTGTAGTTATTCCACTCTTACGTGAAACGTATTGCATAATTCGTGTCAACGCAAGCCCACGCACTATCCATTTGTCTATGTAGTAGATCTTATACTTATCGACTTCGTTTGCAAAAGTTTCTGTTGACGAAACGGCCTCTGTTATAAACAAAAACATAGACGTATCCATGTCAAAAATAAAACAATAAAATTATTACTTACTATTTGGTAAAAGGAAAAAGAATTGGTACTTCTACAGCTCAATAGCCTTTTATACTTTGTAGTAGGTATTTGTTTTGCTGCTCTTCCATACATTTCGCATATTGATTATGTATGAAAATAAAAAGTAATAGCTAAAATTAAAATATAACAATATTTTTCAGATTTTTTAAAAGTTTTAATACACCTAATATTTTAGCAATTTGTACTCATTTTATAATCACCAGTTCACTTTAAATTTTTAACCAAATACAAAACATGTTAAATTTTTTTCCTAACACCAAAAACTAATTTTCTACGCCGCTACGTTTTGAAAACCGCCTGTATTCAAACGTCACGATTCTNACTGTTCGCAAATAGTTAAGGATGTGGGCTGTTCTAGTTTTAGGGAAATGCGAAGTTTAGCTCAGGATAGGAAAGAGTGGAGGTACGTGTCCAACCAGTCTTAGGACTGATGACCTTATGATGATGATGATTGCTTTACGGATTCAATGTCTTGGTCCATGGAATTTTAAGTTCCAAATTGATATCAGCATCTGTCAAACATTTATCATACCTTTAGCAAGGAACTACGAAATTCTATGAATTACGACAAAACAGCCCCCAAAACAATATCGAATTGATATACACCAGCTGTGTAAAACTGAAAAGTACAAGATATTGTGGTGGGCTAATAAATGCTTATAATCAAAAATTCTTAGAAAACGATTCGATAAACTTCGCTTTTTAGATGAACCCAAAGCTAAAGAAATTATTTTTTTCTCTTATTAGAATGTGTAAAAGATTAAAAACAAGTTGGGCTTGTAAATATTTTGATATAAACTGATTGATGTTGATTTTACATCAATAAAATTATTTGCAACCCTATTTTGGCTCTGATCTTTCACACTAAGCAAACTATTTTGGCATCAGTGGCTTTTTTCAATTAAAACGGTGACAAAGTCAAATAAGGGAGATATAGAAGAATTATTTGTTCATAATTCATACTCAGTATTCGTAGCTGGTGATATAGTGCAAACACCACTATTAACCTAGAAGAACTCCATTATTTAAAAAATGAGCAAATGTCTACAAGTTTTTCGTAAATAGTATTTTATACTTAAGTAAATGTAGGAAATTAAATAGGTAATACAAAAAAGTATTTATTTGAATAATTTTGAAAATACGTATTTTGCATTTTGTTGCATTTCTGGAAATCTATTTTGTGTTTTATATTTGAAATAACAAATCAAAAAAGTATTTTCATTTTGTATTTAAATACTTTAAAAAAAAACAATTTTGCACATCACCCCGTGTTGCGTAATATAGACAACGGTATGGTTGTTTTCAGTTATTAAACTTTATAATAAAGGTAGTTTCATATTAATTTTAGATATCCTCCCAACCCAATTGCTTTAAAAGCAAGGAGGAAAATGAACACTAAAATATCAATTTAATGTTACAGGTATCGAGAGAGAGCAGCCCAATTATATAAAAGATATTGTGGGTATATCAATGAAAATCCATACAAGGGCCGTCCAAGTTACAGTAGGTTGGACATATCCTGTTCTAAATTTCCAGAAATAAACAGAGCAATTGATAAGCATTTCAGAAACAAAGATTTATTTCCAACATACTACGACATGGAAAAGCTGATTAAAAAATGTATTGAAAGGCATAAATTAGAACTTTCTAAAACTGAATTGAATGAGGAAGGTACTTTTTACATCAAAAGTGATAATTAGTCAGTCCTTTTTTTTTATTTGATAACGGTTATTGTTATTATTTTCAGTTAAAACGTGCTTTAAGAAATTAGGAGAATTACTTCAGGCAAGGAGGAAACGGGATTTGGGCAGTGTTCATTGTAGCTATTTAGAAAATCTAATGGACCCAGCAAAAGACGATCCTGATTTAGACAAGAAATTAAAAGAAAACGGGGAAGCTGGAGAGAAAAGGATTAACCAAATTTGTGAAAAGTAAGTAAAAAATTTAATATATATACTAATTTATTTAAATTTAACACTTTTGACTATTTAAAATTCATTTTTTATGGGACACTATAAAACGTCGTTAGTTTTGATTAATACATCACTAATTAACGAAATTTGCCGGTAAAATAATATAAAAAAGCAAATTTCTAAACTTTTTAACGTTAATATATCTATTGTGCAACTAAACTCAAGCTGCATTAGAATTCATTGTAATTATGCAGCGGAGACACAAGTGTGTAGGCACCACCCCACCCTCTCTTGAGTGTCTTCACCTTTGTCTATATGAAAGTTTTGTACTTCGCCCATATACTATATACTCAGATAGGGATATCATTTTATGTGTATTATAAAAATTAATACACGTACATGCGGTAAGGCTTACGGAATCTATAAGCTTCATTTCGAAGCCCCATCATCATCATCATTATAAGGTCGTCAATCCTAAGACTGGTTGGACACGTACCTCCACTCTTTCCTATCCTGAGCTAAACTTCGCATTTCCCTAAAACTAGAACAACCCACATCCGTAACTATTTGCGAACAGTAATCTAACGTAGGTCTACCTCTACCCCTCTTAACTCCTGCTTCTGCCTCTAATGTCTCTGACTAGACCTTCATGCCTGAGAAGGTGTCCTACCAACCTATCTCGCCTATTTTTTATTGACTTCCATAGAGTACTCTGTTCTCCTATTCTTTATAATACCTCTTCATTTCTAACCTTTTCTACCCACGTTATCCTCATCATTCGCCTATAACACCACATTTCGAAGGCTTCTAACCTTTTCTTTTCCACTGCACCCACTGTCCATGTTTCGCACCCGTCAACGCCGCCCTCCTAACATACACCTTTAACAACCTTTTTCGAATTTCTAAATTAACCGTTCTCGAACATCGATGTGGCTTTTTTTTATTAAAGGCGACAAGACCCTGCGCTATCCTCTGCTTTATATCTCTACTACTCCTTCCATTCTCACTTATCTGACTTCCTAGATATCTAAAATCAGCCACTTCTTCTAATTTTTCGTTTCCTATCTTTATATTCGCTCTTTCCCTACTTTTTCTTCCCTTGCATACCAGTATTTTAGTTTTATTTATTTTCATACAGTACTGATCTGTCAGTACCGCTTCCATTTTATTTAAAGCTATCTCTAGGTCCTCCTTGCTAGATGCTAATACTGCTATATCATCTATATATAAATCTAAGCATACTAATCTTTGCCCATGTACATCTATCCCTACAGTTGTAGTGTCTTTAATAATGTTGATCGCGTCTTCGATGTATAGATTAAAAAGTAGCTGTGACAGTGTGCATTACGTTGCAGCCCTAGCTCTGTTGCTGCCTGTTGCTCTTTTTACAAACTAAGTATCACTCTTCTATCTTTGTAACTCATTCCTACATTTTTAAGCATATTTAACATCTTGTTTCATTTAACATTGTCAAAACCTTTTCTAAATCTACAAATCCCCATTTCTCAAATATTAATTTTAAAGTCAATTATAATTTGCTCCCCTCCTGCCTTTCTCGTATATAAATAGCTAATAATTAGTTGATTTCTATTGGAGTACTGTTATTTCTATACTTATGAAGCAAATTATGTCGAAATTGATAAATAGCTATAGAACTCTTTCGTATCTGACATGCTCCCGATTAAATTTTTATAGTGACTAATTTTTGACATTGTATGTACCAGGTATGTTCAATTACAAGAAAAAAACACCGAGTTGAATAAAACTGACGAGTCCAACTCCGAGTCTTCAAGCACAGAAGAAATTGTTGACTGATTAGTATATTTAATTAATTGTAATTGTATTCGTCATAATTTCTTTTAAATATCTTTTAGTGTAAATATAGGATTGTAATTTATTTGTACGTAATGTATTTCTATATTTGTGTCAAATAAATTTTTATCACAATTACTATTTCATTTATAAACAGGAAGTATAAAAGTTTAAAATGGATGATTTTTGTTTAAAAATAGATTATCAGTTCAGTGACTGCCGCAAAATTACGGTTACATTCGTATGTAAATGTATACTTCATTTGATCGTTACTTTATAACAAGTGTTTAATTAAATACGTACTTGTATTCATTTTTTGTTTTAAATATTTATCTTTTACTAATAAAATTTTCAATTGTATACTATCAAGTTTTAATATAAAAATATTTGGTAACAAACTCTATAGCATCGTAGCAATGTTTATCACAGAGAAAACACTGACAATTGATATAAAAAACAACCAGCCCAATTATATAA